TGTAGGAAACAATGCTGGCAAGATTGCCGCTTGGTGTTTTCTTCCGGACCCTCCTCCCAGCAATCGATCCCTGGGGGAAATCGTCTTCTTGGAGTCGACCCACCGGGCATTCGACCCCACTGCAGTCAAACTTCCAAGAGCCCCCGAACCTTTCCTCACCACTTGGAGGTGCCCATCCACCTTCACTGGAGCCACTACAATCGACCCCAAGTGTCCCCCACCCTTGGTCACCACTCGGTGGAGTCCATCCTTGCCCTTCACCGGGTTGCTGCCACCCGCCGGCACTACCGGTAGAACCGCTGCAGTCAACACCCAGCGTTCCCCAATCGTGCTCACCTCCAGGGGGCGTCCTACCGTCTCCGGTCGATCCACTACAATCCACACCTAACGTTCCCCAACCTTGAGCACTTCCTCCGTTCGCTGGCCAACCCGGTTGTCCCTTATCACCACCGGCATTCGTAGGCCAGCCCATTTGTCCTGAGTCTGCGACAGGGTTGGGCGGATACCCGATATGTCCTAGGTCTCCACCAGGGCTTGAGGGCCGGCCCTTTTGCCCCTGATCACCGCCGCCAGGAGGCGATGGCCAGTTCATTTGTCCTTGATCTCCACCGAAGTTTGGCGGCCAGCCCTGTTGTCCCTTATGGCCACCAGGGTTTGAAGACCAGCTTGCCTGCTGGGGCCAACCTTGGTTGCCAGTACCGGTCCACTCGCCTGATGACCATCCTTGACCACCTGCACCACTGTGTGTTGGATTCTTGAGCTGTGTAGGCACTCCAAAGTCGCCAACGCCATTGTTGTCAAATGTTGGAGTCAAACTATCGGTGGTTACTCCTGGTGCTACCGTGCCTGCCTTCTGCTCAACGTCATCTCCACCGCCAAAGTCAAACGCGGACGACGACGCTGCCAATGTGGCAACGACAAGTACATGCGGCAGCGGACTCATCGTTTATAGGTATTGCTAAATCGAAAGTGTCTCCGCGATTCAACAGGGCTTAGTCAACGCCTAACCGAATGTTTGTCGTGCGTACACACATATTCGACACTGCAGTACAGTACAGTACCTGGCCCAGATGGTAATAAGGGATGGTGAACAAAAGCATACATGTACAGTGCTGCACCCCGTTTTCGCGCCCTTGGACCTTTGATAAACGTCCGGATGTGATGATCCTGAATCCAAATGAACTTATCTTTGTATGCTAAAATCTGATTTATTTGCAAATCCTATATGGTCCACCCCCGCGAAAACGGGGTGCAGTACTGTACATGTACCGGTATAAGTACTGTACGGTACTTCGGAGATTCCTTTAAATGAGTCAACATTCTGGACTTTTACTTTTAGAAACTGTAGTTCCTGAGAAATCATAATATATATACAGAAGATAACAGTCTCAAAAAGTGTGTCTTAGCGTATGGTGCTTGATTTCGCATAAAATCTAAGTTTATGCGAATTCCATGCCTTATTCCGGAAAACATGATTCTTGGAAAAGCACATGCTTGTTTTTTTGCATTTACCCTGCTGTTTTTAGTATTTTCGCATCTCATGCTACTTCTGGTATAAGTACGATCCTATGAAATACAGTTGGCTACATTTGTGACCCAAAAATTAAATTATGGAGGCTTCTACCCAAGAGTCGGTCTATTTCAACGACACCTGGGTTCTGCCTATACCTTAGTTATGAATTACTCTTTGTTATCAATACCGGTACACTATAGTACTGGCGAGATGAAATGCACCACCATTTTTTTTGTTTTGCTCATAAATACAAAAGTAATTATCGGATTAATGCCGGCAGACCCGCAATGGAAACAGGGTAGCACAGAGATCACAGACAAACACACGTTGTTTGACTTTCTTGTCTTTTATTAAAATGGTGGAAGCTCAAACGTCTGCGGGAAATTGATGCTGATCATGCATGCACAGAACATTTCTTGCGATATTTAATAAACAAAGAAGCCTAAAGTGACAAGCTTTACGCCAGAATGCAGCTTGGAATGCAACGCATCTGCAGAAGTTGGTTTTAGCTACAGGAGCAGCGTAGGGATTGCTGCATGCAGTGTTAAACGCATCGCCGACAGCCCCACTTCCTAGGATCAAATGTGCATAGAAATGAATAAAAAGGGCATTGTTGATTGTAATACTAACGTTTGTAAGGACCAAAACATCTGATGCCGTATGTCAAGAAGATAGCCTCGATTTTTTGGGCGGAACGAAAGACACGCACTTTTCGATTAAGTGTAGCATGTGAATTTGAGCAGATATTCAAGGATGATTATGACTACTTAAGAGAAGAAATCATTATCTTTCCAACAAAAAAAGCTTATATAAATTGGGTAATTGGGTGAGAAGTTGTGAAGGGGCAATGTTTGGTGTTGCATTTCATCTCGCCAGTACAATAAGAGATTAAATAAGTGAAAGACATAGAAGGTAGAAATCCAGGCAGGTATAGGCTTAAGTATCAATACAGACCTCAATTTGCACAGTATCACGCAAGTGCCTTCCTGCCCTCAAGAACCGGAACTACATTGGCCGTACGAGGTCGGAGAAGGTTAAGAATTGCGAATCTAGTGTTGGTAGTGATAACTGGATAATACATTGGCCAGATCCTACAAACCTAGTGAGCTTTTCCTTTACTTGTGCAGATCCGACAGGGTAACCGAATTTACTACTTGGTCGGTTATAACCCAGAGGCTCTCAACTCTCAAGATCCCGTCAGAGGAGGCGGCAAGTACAACGCAAAGGAAAACGCAAAGGCAAGGGAACACACCCGCAAGGCAACCCTACGGCGAGATCCACGATCTAGGCCCCGGATCCATAAGCTCGAATATTCGCTTAGGATTCGGAACAATCCACGGACGCAGAGTGAAGATTTTCCACTGCTGCTCCACGTATCGCCAAGACGCTCAAGCTTCACCACTTAAACGCTTTGGAAGTTACCGAGAGAGCAAGATCCCGCCCTACCGACGGGTACACAAGGTGAGGAAAGTTCAGCAGAATACGGATCATCGGGGGACCCCTCCGTTAGTCGGTGTCTGGGCGCAATTGGTAAATTGGATCCAGCAATCTCGCAGATTTTGCTG